TCTCAAACAGATTCAAATGGTTCTTCAGTTGTCCCTACTAACTTGCTAAACTGTGCAGGGTACATTCTAAAGGTGTAATGTGGAAACATGTTAACAGACTCCGAATGTCCGAACACTGCGCTCAATCATCACAAACCTTTATGTCCATATCTCTACTTATGCTCATTTCAACCTTTGAAAATAGAGCGACCGTCCCAATATTTCAGATTTTATGGACAAGAGACTTTTGCGTCTTCAGATGCGCTCACCACAAAAGCTTACGTTGCGTAATGAGGAAAACCTTTCATCCCTAAAATCTAGTGTGGGCAAAAGTAGAGTTGTCTGCGTACATTCTGGCGATGACTGATTGCATTTTTATAGTAGATACTGCTTGTCCTCATTAGGATTATTACCATTGAACTGGAGTCTATTCCAGCAGATTTTGGGCAGTAGGACACACAACCATTCACAACCCAAAACGCATGTTTTGGAGATTTGGGAGGAAGTCAAAGCACCAAGACAAAACCTATGCACGCATGGAAATGTAAACTCCACATAAAGATGTTCCAATGGAGATTTTAACCCAGATCTCCTGACTGTGAGTCAGACTTGCTAGCCACTAGTTCAGCATGCTGCTATGTAAAACATCAATGCAAGTCTTTTGGGACATCTAAAGATTCGTGAACACATCGTCACATAGAACATTCACGCATTTACAAACATACTCACACCTATGGACAATTTAGTCTCCAATCAACATCACATGCAATACCCAAGGAAAACCCACACAACCTTGGCGAAAAATGCGCATATTCCACAGAGGAAGGCTGCAATAGAGATTTGAACACCAAACCGCAAAACTGTGAAGCAGACATGTTGACCACTTTACACTGTGCTACTCTGAAAAATAATCTAATTTTATAGATATCTAGACCTGTCACAGATGAATCACATGGGGGAAGTGACAGACAAATGCTTTATCTATTCTGTTGTTGCGCATTGGACAACAGCAGGCGCTCAGCCCAATGTTTACTATGCCGCTCATGTCGGATCAGCCTGGACATTTCTGATAGCAAATGTCTCCAGTGTGTTAGCTGGCAGAGGCCCACAACCTACAGTGACTTACTACAGGTCTGTGTGGGCCCGCACCATTCTCTGCACCATCATGCCGAGTTCTTTTCGTAGCATTGGGAAGTGATGTACAAGCGTTGTTTCTGCTTCCACAGTATGGCTGAAGCCTGTGTGTCTTTTTGAAATTTTCAGTGGCTCAAAGGATCATAACGCTGACCTTTTAACCATGTGAAACAGATTATCATTGGGCATTTGCAGGCGATCACTTGAAATGGTGACAAGTAACCAATGTGCATTAAAGGACATTGGGCTCTCTCTGCTGGTGTATAAGGGGTACTACAGAGAGGAACCAGGATTTGTTCCCAAGCACATCATAACCCAAGTCAGTGCACGTGTCAGTGATTTATTTATTTTTTGTCTTTATGTTTTGTTTTACAGTACTATGTCACAAATGCAGGGGACAACCAAATTCATAAGCTATTGACCTATCCAATTATGTTTTACTTTATGTATTGCATTAAGTATGTCAAATCACAGTTTTTTCCTGGTTCTAAATCAGTTTTGTTGTCCACTTAGAAAATGCAAGCTCAGTAAACTTTGGGCAGTGATCCAGACATGACATCAAGGGCTGTCACACACTGTTTGGGGATTGGGGAAAGTCATAATCAAAAGTTCAGTTTTTTTTTTTTTTTTTAAACTGAACAGATGAGCTCATCATTTACTCTCAAGTAAAAACAGGGCAAATAATTGACATTTGGCTATGAAGGGAGAAAGTGCTCACTGTTTTTGTGTCCCTCTCTCCTTCTACGGTGCAATGACAACAGTGAGAGCTCTGATTGGGAAAAGCCATATGGCAGATGACAAACCAACGGCAGGTTCCATGTCCCCACTGTAGTACAGCTCAGGCACGCTGCCACATCACTTGATCTTACTCTGCAAGTCTGCATCCTATCCTATTATTCGGATCATATGCATTACAGGGTTGCATGAGGTAGAGTGAGGCATCAAGGCTAACCATTTTATAAAAATGTGAAAATAAAAGAGGACATACCTTTGCTCTATCCATTCTTTTGGAAAACTGTTTGATGATGTCAAGTCCAGCGTATCATGTGAATCACTGCTTTGTTGTTCTTCTACCATGCTTAAAAAGTTAGAAAGGTTATGGTAACAGGGCTGAATGCGTGTGGTGGCACACACGGTCCATGAATAATAGTTATTATTTCAAATAGTATGCTTATTAAAACAAATGTTCCCACAGTGACAAGAAACAGTCATGAAACAAACCCAGTCAGCAAAGGCATCTGGCCCGGCTTCGGCATGAAGCCGGCACAGCTGGCCTGGTGTCGGCAATGGCATAACGCATGTGGGCCGAACACGGCCCAGGCGTGGCAAAGGAGGCACTGGCTTGACTCTGGCAAACCAGATGAGGGCCAGTTCTTGCGTGAAGTATTTGGGCCAGAAATCAATTTCCAACTCCGGCCCGAATATGGCCAGCCAGGACTCAG